TTGGTTGTTAAACATGGCCAGATCTTTTATTTTATTTTTTTAAAGAGATGGAGTCTTGCTCTGTCACCTGGGCTGGAGTGTAGTGGCATGATCATAGCTCACTGCAGATTTGAATTTCTGGGCTCAAATGATCTTTCTGCCTCAGCCTCCTGAGTAGCTAGAACTACAGGCGTGCACCACCATGCCAGATTGATTTTTTTAATTTTTTGTAGAAGCAGAGTCTGGCTATGTTACCTAGGCTGGTCTCAAACTTCTGGGCTCAAGTGATCCTCCCATCTCAGCCTCCCATAGTAGTGCGATTACAGGCATGAGCCGCTGTGCTCAGCTGAGTTACACTTTCTGTCATTGGTTCTTTTCTCTTAAACTCCACTGCGTTTAATTTGTATTAATTGTTCTCCTATAGCACTACTTTTGACATTTTTTAATTATATGTGCATTTCTTGTCCCCTCTTCTAGACTTAGCAGGAGAGACCCTTGCCTCCTTGTAATAGACATCATTGAGCTTCTACTATGTGTCACAAACAGTAGTGTTTACTGTAGGGTCAAAACAATGATGAAGACAATATTCCTGACTTCCAAGTTTCCCAGGGAGATTATACATTATAATAAGGTATGATAGAGGTATTCTTAAAATGTTATGGGAGCACAGGTGAGAACAAGATTCGTTCTTCCTGGAGAGTTGGAAAGACTTCAAAAAGATCACATTTGAGCTCAGAAGATCACATTTGAGCTCAAAAAGATCACATTTATTCAGACAAGATTAGGCTTTTACTCAACTTTGTATCACCCAAGGTAAATGTTGAGTTACAATAAAAACATGACTTTTGTTTTTGTTTGTTTTGTTTTTTCAATTTTCAAAATTTTTAATTTTTTCTATTTTAAGTAGAAATGGGGTCTCGCTGTTGCTCAGGCTCGTCTTGAACTCCTGATCTCAAGCGATCCTCTGGTCTCAGCCTCCCAGAGTGCTAGGATTACAGGCCTGAGCCACTGCATGCAGCCAAAAGCATGACCTTTGAAGTTAGAATTTTCAATTCTGTCTCTACCATTTACTTGATAGCAGTCTTAAAACATACTGTTTAACATCTTTCAGCTCAGTTTCCTTATTTGTAAAATGATGATAATAATACAAGCTGCATAAAACTGGTAAGGAAGATTGAATGAGGAAGAGTATGTTTTAAAGCATTTCAAGCTGTGCTTGGTACACATAGTTCATCAAATCCAACAATCCGTTTTAAGATACAACATTTTATATATTACTAAAAAAGAAAAACCTGGCCAGACGTGGTGGCTCACGCCTGTAATCCTAGCACTCTGGGAGGCTGAGGCGGGAGGATCCTTTGAGCTCAGGAGTTCAAGACCAGCCTGAGCAAGAGCGAGACCCCGTCTCTACTAAAAAAATAGAAAGA